AAAGGGTGGGCCCTGCTAACTGGGCTTATAGGATTTGAAATCCACTGTGGCTCCTTTCCAGATAAGATAAAAACATTATTTTTTCATCAAACTGAATGAAAATGTTGGGGAGGGGGGAAGACATCTTGCCACATGCCCAAGCAATCATACTCCATTACCCACAACACAATTTATCCACTCCATGTAGTGTTAAGTTCATTTGGATTCCCGTACATCAAACTGCTGGCGAGGCTTCTCACTAACTGGTGGGTGGCTTCTGTGTGAAAGGCAGAGTTTGTTTCCAGAACTTCCTTTAATTAGAGGTTTTACATTAATGGCTGAAATCAAGATTAGCAGGGGAGAGCTCTGCCTGGAATAATGCATCAAAAGTCAAGAATCACCTTGACAAAACCGATGGAAGGCTCAGTCATTAAGGAGAAAACCTTTGCCTTTTTCGAGGCATTTTGACTTTTAAGATTAAGGAGAGGACTAGCAGGAGAGGAAACGGCTTTGATGGAATAGATGAAAGTTGCAAAAATTGTATCATACTCAACATTTTCTTCTCTGACACTTTCTTGGTATTTCCTGTAAGAAACACCAGACATGAAATTTGCAGGTAGTTGTGCTTGCATAAACTCAGGATAATAACTCTCTGTGCTGTGCAGACTGCTACTGAGTTCATATTATGCTAAGTCATGGTTTTGTATACTGTACCTGCTTTATACAATAAACCGCAGTTGAACTACCAAAGGACAAATTTCAGGCAGGCAGGATAACAACATCGACAACAATAATTACGGCACGGTGTTCCAGACCCAAGATTAACATGACTCTGTACAAACCAATCCAGAAGTTCCCAGACTTATCAGTTCGTGGTGTCCTTAATGCCACAGTACTTTTTTTCACAGCACTTCTTGGCTCCCTGTTGTCTTCTGAAGGCAGCTGTTCCTACAGTGAGAATAATTAACCAGTGGAACTGTTTTGCCTTCTTCTCCATCACTGGAGGCTTTTAAGAAGAGACTGGACAGGCGTTTCTCTGAAATGATTGAGCAGGAGGTTGGACTAGAAGACCTCCAAGGTTTCTTCCAGCTCTACTCTGATTGATTATTGATTGATTGGAAAGCTCCCCCCAGCCCTTGGTCTTTCCTGCATGCATTTTTTATGGACACATCATTCATCAACAACCAGCTTACGTGCCCCTCAGAACCCAAATCAACCACATAGCCAACCAGAGACCGCACCAAACCTCAACCAACCCGCACAAGCCCCTCCCCCATCAGCTGTTCACTCCCAATGACCCTGACCTGATGTAACCTCCCCATCACAAGACCCATCCCAAGACTGATGACTTACACCTGACCCATCACAAGACCCATCCCAAGACTCTCACTTTGCACTCCCACACTTGAAGCAGAAGAAGACATCCCCTAAACTCCACTGAAGAGGCTACCTTGCCTGGTAACGAAACGTTCAGAAACCAACCCACAAGTTCGGAGAACAAACTTCCGCCCTCATCCTAATCCCGAGTTAAAGATATTTGCCACTGTTGCAAGCTCTACCTCTCCGAGTCTATTGGCAAAGATTCCTATTCCCTTCTCATTTCCAAAAGGGGATTCAGCTAACTGCATTGTTTCTGTTCTGATAGGGAAGAAATTAAGGCCAAATGGTTCCCCCATTTGCTATTTACAGCCTTCCAAGGGAGCTCCTGGAAGATTTTCATCTGAGTAAGAGCATTAAAAAACTGCTTATGATAGTTTTTGGATCAAAAGTAGTATAAACTACACATCGAGGACCTTCAAGACTCGCTCGTTAACTTACTAATGGATGTAGCATGTTATTATGAAGATTAGCAGCCCGTGAGCCCTGCGGTAATTTGTACCCTGAAAACCATAAGGCGGAATCTTTTTGACTGCAAAGGCTTTGAGCTTGTTTACTCAGCTCTGATTATTATGGTATTTTGCACAAGAGGGAAACAAGGTCTTTGAGCTAGGCTAGAGCATGCAGTGGGTGATTATACCAGTAGAGGCACACACAAGTGTGTTTGTGTATCAGTTTGAAGGCACGGGGTCTACTGTATTCATAATGCTTTCTTTGGGACTAGAAAGAAGGATTACAAGCAGTTGTGTATCACCATTAGTCCTTGGTCTCCGGTATCCCTTCGTCTCTGCTTCCCCAGGCCTGGACCATTGTTTCTCGTCCTGCCCTCTGGTGCTTTGGAGAATAACGTGACCCTCCTCTTCTCTGTGGCAGCCCCTCAAATACTGGAACACTGCTATCATGTCTCCCCTATTTCTTCTTTTCTTTAGACTAGCCAGACCCAAGTCCCGCAGCCGTTCTTCGTATGTTTTAGTCTCCACGCCTTTGATCATCTTAGTTGCTCTTCTCTGAATTTTTTCCAGACTCTCAACATCTTTTTTGTGACATGGGGACCAAAACTGGCTGCAGGATTCCAGGTGTGGTCTTACTAGGGCTTTGTAAAGTGGTACTAGTACTTCGCGTGATCTTGATTCTATGCCTCTGTTTATACAACCCCGGATTGTGTTAGCTTTTTTGTTCTGGCTATGCTTTTTTCCCTATTGTGGGGAAAATCATTTTTCAGATGAATGGGACTGTTTAATAGACAAATTAAGACAGAAGGAATGTGTCCTTGTTGCTTACAGCAGCCTGTGGTAAGTTTTATCAGAACATTCCCATAGCAACTCCTGAATGTCAAAATGCAAATGTTTCTTTTAACTAAGACCGTTGTTCTCTGAAGATAACAGAAGGGCAGGAAGGAACCTGAAATCTATTATGTTATTACTTACTAATGTGTATGCACACATAATTTCCCCCCTCCTTTCTGAAATGTGTAAATATGAGTGCATCTCTTTGTCTGCAGGGGTGTGTCTCCCACTCTTCTTGATCATTTGCGTTGGATCCGGCATTTGCCCCTCACTCATGTGGGGTCAAATAATGGCTCAGGCATGTAAGAACCAGTCCTTTGCATCTGTTTGTGTTTGTGTGTGTGTGTGTGTGTGTGTGTGTGTAGGGGGTGATACTCTGCTTTATATAAGCTTTTTTCAAGGCTTAGGGCTGACTTAGGGATGCCTATTCATACTCATTCTTCTTCTTGGAAAAATCAGGATATGGAGTTAGTCCACCTGGCAGGGCTGGTAGAAACTGCTAATGAGAATGTAGCAAAGCCCAAAACACAACACAAAGACGTTTGCCTCTAAAACTGTCTTAACCTGGGCAAAATGTTTGTGGGATATGAAGCTTTGGAAACAAATGTTTCTTTTTGCAAGGAGGATTTTGAGGTTTTTTTATAGTGCACCCTGTTATCTTAAAATTATAGCAGCTACGTGCAATGTGTTAATTAAAACAATAACCAAGAAGCATCCCAATAGTTTTGAACATTAATATATGCTAATGGGAGTAATTTCCTTTTCTTTTGGTAGAAAAATATACCAAACAAAAATAGCATTGTGATTTCAATTTCCAGAAAATATAATAAAATAGAATCTTGGTAATATCTTTTTAGAATGACCTATTCGCCAAGTGAATCATGCATTAATGTGGCCAAAGATGATAATAAAGTGTAGATACTTATTTAATTATGACTATACAAATTAGTTGTAAGTTTTGCAAAGTCACAGATGGCATTCCTCTTTATTGCTATTTTAAAGAGCACAAGAACCATTTCAAAAAATGTGGTTTGATTCATTTAGCATTTGTAGTCATTTAGACTGTAGGAAGCTTCCTGTTGATCCACTGATTTTAATTCCTGCTTGCATGTGAAAAGAGTTTTCCCATTGTGTAGCAGTTGGGATCTTTAGCAGAAGGTTTGGCCAGGAAAGGAAGCTGCTTCTGCCTGCTGGAAAGCCACAGGTGTGTCCTTGGAAAAATGGAGGTGTTAGCAGGGCTAGGGAACTATGGGTACTTCATGACTTGTGGACATGCTGGCTCAGGAATTCTGGGAGTTGAAGTCCACAAGTCATAAAAGGGCCACGGTTCCCTACCTCTGCATTACAGGAAAGTGGACAGGACATATTTTTGGCCCATTTTTATTTTTTGTTTTAGTGAAGATGCAATTGAGAAGAAAAAACTCTGCCAGGGAAGAAAGTTTAGCATGATCCATAGGTTTAATGTTGTACACATGTGACCTAAAAGATGCCGTGTAATTTCCAGTATGTAGGTATAAAGTTATCCAAAGCCTTGTCTTCTTTTCCCCATGTAATGAGGGATATTAATTAAAGGGCCAAAAAAGAACAAGGGGAAAAAAGTAATCGGGGGGGGGGGCTAGAGCAAGTTGGCAGAAGGATCATTTGTCAGTCTCTTCTTTCTCTCTCTCTCTCTTTTTTTAGCAGCATTGATGTAGCCCTGAGGGAGTCTTTCCTTATTGGGACACACAAAACATGCACAGATTTTACGGTTTCAAGTGCTTGGGGTTTCTTCATTTCAGATTTTAATTTTTGGTCTTGAGGAAGAGATGACCCAAATTATTTCAGATTCAATTTGAGTGCCATTTACTAAGAGCCAAATAAGCTCTTTCTGAACACCCCCCCCCCACAAAAAAAACCCCTGGGCCCAGCTTTTTCCTTTTTTATAACAAACGAGAATGAACTATACGATAGTTCTGCTTTTCTTTTTCTTTTTTTAAAAAATGCTAATCTAATATATTTATTTTTAAATACATTGCACTTAGCAGAATGTGGATTCTTACATCTATCCTAACTTCAGAATTCACGTTGTCTTTTCAGGCATAGCCTCCTCAAAGCAGTTTACAAGGCACAACATCTTAAACAATAATTTAACAAGTTAAAATAGCATCCTAAAATATTTTGAATAACAGATGCAGCAAGCATGATAAAATACAGATGGACATCCATTCCCTGGAACAAATCTCCACATGGCGTGTTTGGCTGTTTCATGGTCTTGGTTGCTAGGCCCAGGGAGGGGTTTGGAGGAGAGAGGAGGCAACATATAGGAAATTTATTAGAGATTCATGACATTTAGTAGCTGTTCACTGCTCTTTCTACCAGGTGGCCCTTGAAACAGGAAGCCGACTGAGATGCTGACCTCAACTCAAGTTTTGGTGATCAAAGAGAAGACCTTTTCTTCTTTCTGTGGGCTTAAATTGGATTAACAGAGGACATTAATGATGAAGCTGACCTGCATGTTTTCCTTCATCCTTCTGTTTGGAGCAGCTGGGCTTCTCGTTTTCATCCACCTGCAGGATCCAGAAGAAGTTGTACACCAGCAAGTCCCAGGTTAGTTCCTCAGGTTCTGCTTTTTCACTGATTTTACCAAATGTGTGTGTTTTTTTAAGCAAAATAACTCTTACGGGAAAGAGTATCCTTAAAGATTTTTTGTAATTCAGATAGGTGGCAAGGTTCATATTATCAGCTGAAGAAAAGTTGTGGCAAACTCTTGAAAGGTTCTTGAACCTTTTTCTACCAACCATACAATGCACAGTTGTTCCCTAGCAAGAGTTGCAAATCTTTGATTCAGTGACCAAAGGTATTGCAAATGTGTATAGCTTGTCAGTTCAACAAGCAGTGGTTTCCTGTGCTGAGGCGATATATCTAGCACTCAAGGGAAAACCTGGCTGACAGCAATTTCTCAACCAAAATGGAATCGCCCCAAATTTCATGTGAAAAAAGTGCATTTTCTCAGGTACCAAAGAAATAAAAGTCAGAAAAGTTCTAATTAATAGTGAGAAAATGCATCCATAGCCTTCCCTTATGGACAACTCAGGAATTAGTGCCGCGTCCAGAGTATTATCAGTCATGTATATCGCCAAAATGCACTGGCATACTACTTTCACTAATCTGGTGTTCTTGAGTTTCTTTGCATCTGTAATTCCCAGAATTCTCAAATTGGCTAGGATTGCCACATGTTGAAATCCCAACAGATCTAGTGATTGTCAAGTTGGGGAAGGTTGAAGTATATAAAGAGAATCTGCCACGTTTGGTTTAAGTGGTCTGGAGAGGATTCGTAAGCTTTGGTTAGGAATTGAGCTGCCCTTTCAAGATGTTAGGAACAGTCTTTTGGGTTTCATGAGGACTAGGCTTTGCATTCTTGCCCAGGTTTGGATGAAAAGCAATGGAATACTTTTGACTGGTTTATAATGTTTGTAGGTGTCTGATAAAAATTTTCCCCGTACCAAAATGGTACTATCTGAACTAGCCACACACAAGATTTTCCCATCAAACATTACTAGGGTAGGGAAAATATTAATGTGAAGCTGAAATGCAGTGCCAGATCCCACCTCAGCTCACTTAGAATGACCTCTGATTTTATGTGTATTTCCACAAAAGTGCCACCACAGGATAAGCCCAAGGAGAAAATAATCATTCCTTTTCTGAGGAGAAAATAATCATTATTAATATTGTCAGTCCAGTTAATTAGAGATAGTGGCCATGTATTGTGTGTGGGCTAGAAAAAACTCTTGCTTGACATGGTTGAGGAAAACAAAGGTGGTGGGGGGGAATTAAATGGGATAGACTGAATCTGGGAGGTCACTAGAATCTCCCTGGAACAGCTCTGGATGATTTTTGGGAACAAATCAAGGTAGTGAGGGATTTGTCCATGCAGTTGTCAAAGTCAGACCTGACTTGATGGCACTCACCTAAGAAGTTTCTGAAGCAAAGTTAACACAAGATAGTTTTGTTCTTCAGTTTTTATGTCTGCTCTATAGATGGTAGTTTGTTTATAGCCTAAGCAAACGTAATGCAAATTAAATGAGACTCATAAAACTTTTAAGTAATGCTTACATTATTTCCCGTCACCAAACTACTCCTGACAGTGGCTGTTTGTGTTGATTTGTTACCATTCATTTATTGCTTCACATTGCAACCTAATTGTAATCCTGTACTGAGAAAGCAATATCAAAGTAATTTTCCACAACATTAGTTACAATTTTCTTCAGATCCTTCAAGTGCAACAATCCCATCCTGTTGGCTTCTCTGAGCATATAAACCTTGATTACATTTACCTGTTGGAAACGAAGATTTAAAATATATATAAAATATATGTGTTTGCAACAGCAGGTGTTGTAGAAGCTTTCTCCTGGTGGTTGTCAAACGTTCTGTGAAGTCCAGAGCATTTTGTTCTGCTTTGATGGACTATTTTGACGGGCAACTCTTTAAAAAGGGCAAAACAGAATCTATGAGCACTTGCATTAACTAAGCAACATATTTTGTTTGCTGTGTCAGATGTGGTAACTTCACCCACTGCAGAGACTTGGAGGAATATTACTAATGAATGCCAGTGACATTTGTAGGGCTGCACAGAATGTTCTAAAAGTATGATATTTGTTTCAAAAGTTGGAGGCAGCTGAATAGATTGCCAAAATATTATTTGCCTCCTGAACATTTGTGTTGTTTTACTGTTGATTTGTTCTGTGCTGTTTGATTGAAGTGGCTGATTCTTCTAGATCCTCCATAATCCTTGGCTTCTCTGCTTAAATTCTTAGTGAACTGTACTGACTGTAACCATCTTCATGTGTTTCCATGACATCATCCTTTCTCAAGCAGAATTGTGACATCCACAATATCACATAGATGGCATATTCCATCAAGTTGTGTTGCATTGTGTAGGCAAAAGAAAAGAAGGCTTGGACAAAGAAAGAGTCAGGAGCATGTGAAATGACATTTCAGCTCCATCCTAGAAGTGATGCTGAGAAAAATGTTGTCAAAATAAGAGGAACATGAAAGAGATGGAAACATCTTTGTTACTTCTGCAACTTCCCTTTTCTGTTCTAAGGACGTATCATTCCGAGTACAACATTGTTTAGATTTAAGTCCGTGTATGTCTTCAATAACTTGTTCATTAAACATCCACCCACATCACTTTTCTTCCCTCGTTGCTATCCCTGTGTACCTGGTTATTCTGCTGATGCTTTCCATAGGTTAGAACAACCTTCTTCAGATTGACATCTTCAAGATGATGAATGGGGGCTGCAGTACCCCAGAATTTCTGGCCAGTAGGGAATTCTGGTCATTGTAGTAGCAATCCAGAGATCACCATGTTGGGAAGAACTGGGTTAGAGTGTTGCTTGTGGATAGGACTGGAAGATTCACACAGTCGTGGAAGTTTAACCCAAATATTAATTTTTAGAATCCCAGAGTTGTTAGGGAATTGGGCAAACACTTAAATCAACCAATCAATTAAAAAAAGACTAGCAAACAAATGCCACTGATTTCTTGTATCTTTTCTGTACACAATAAACTGTTTTAGATACTCTGGCATCCTCAAAGTGGGTGTAAATTTCTGCTCTGTATATTAAGAGAAAGAAGTGAATTACCTGTCTGTGGAACTATGATGCAATTTGTTTTGCTGATCTTGGTCTCTTGAGATGGGAACTCTTGGGAACTAACTTTCACCCCCTCCCTTTCTGGGAATGAGCAAATTATAGAGTGGATAGAATCCAGATGTACAGGTAGTCCTCGAGTTACAACAGTTCATTTAGTGACTGTTCAAAGTTACAACAACACTGAAAAAAAAGGACTTATGACCATTTTTCACAGTTACAACCTTGGCAGCATCCCCATGATCATGCGATCAAAATTCAGATGCTTGGCAACTGGCTCATATTTATGATGGTCACAGCATCCCGGGTTCACGTGATCACCTGTTGCACCCTTCTGACGAACAAAATCAATGGGGAATCCAGATTCACTTAACAACCATGTTCCAAGTTATCAACTGCAGTGATTTACAAATGTGGCAAGAAAGGTCATAAAATGAAGCAAAACTCACTTAGCAACTATGTCTATAAGCAACAGAAATTTTGGATTCAATTGTGGTCATAAGTCAAGGACTACTATGGGGAAATTCATCTGTTCACAGAAAGGCTGTTCTACAGCTTGTCCCAAAATATGTTAATGAAAAAATGCCAAATAATGAAAAATACATCCAAAGATCCTTTTTGACTTACTTCTATTGTAAAGTATCCAGGCTGAATATAAAAAAAAACCCTTAAATAAATAAGCAAAACTTACAGAAGCTGTTGTAAGCTCAAATAGGTTATAGAGTTCATTATTTTTATTTAATTTTTACTCAAAGTATAACTTAATTCTGTAAATTCTCAAGCAATTCTTTCAGAAGCGTTTGCTGAAAAATGATCCCATTTAATTTCTTGGACATTGTTTTTTTTTTGAAGAGAATCTTTTTTCTTGTTTCCTTTTAAATTGAATACTGTTTTATACGATATTGATTATGAAACAGAACAGCCCTACCTTTGTGCTGTAAAATTATTTTATAAAAAGATTAAATCCTCATTACTACTTTAATATTTCAAGTATTCATTAAAAATTGAGTTTGAACACATTAGAAGTGTTTTTATTTCACTGATTCCAATCTGAGAAAAAGTCTTTTTAAAAAAGTATTGGATAATTTTTCTTGCCTCAGATAATCCACCTTAGTCACTTCTGCAGGCTTTTCAGTCTCTCTTTAGTGTCTAAGCGTTGTTTTAGAGCCCTCATAGTACTCAAATTAAAATAGATTCACATAATAAATTGGTGACTTCTCCCAATGGAAAGCATTGGGCTAAATTACGTGTATAAGTTTGGGTCCTGCATTGTTGTCCCTTGGGATAAGAAAGCTGATGGACACAAGGTGCCTGGGTGCGCATCTCTCCACAATGGCAGGTCTAAGCTATCTTAACTCTGAAGAAGGGAGGGCAGAAAAAAACTGTGGCTTGCTTCTCCCAACCTTGAGGGAAAGTGATTCTCTTCTCTGGCTTTTCCTCTAATGAAGGGGGGGGGAGCAGAAACTTCTGGATGGGTAGGAGAACTTCAGTTTCCCTGGAGACACCAAAGAATGGACTTGGTTTGTGCTGTAGAACATCTCCTACCTGCTTGTTCAATTTAAAATTCTCAAAGCTGGTCTTTTGCTTTTACATTAAATCAATGTTTCTCAATCTTGGCAAGTTTAAGATGTGTGGACTTCAGTTCCCAGAATTCCCCATGGCTGGCTAAGGAATTCTGGGAGTTGAAGTCCACACATCTTAAATTTCTCAACTTAAAGCTGAGAAACACTGCATTAAATTGTATCCAATCCTACCCTCTCTCTTCTGTGGGCAGTATTCTTCTGAGCAGTGGAAGTAGCTCCAACTTCAAGAAGACTTGGATTAAAACAGATAGCAAAGCTTTGTGTGCTTTCTAGATACTTCCAGGATCCTGTAAGTGATTCCGGAAGCGAAACTAAAATTTCTGACTTTAAGGCAGAGTCAACTCAGAGAAACCCCAAACCTTTAATACCAAAT